TAGATAGATAGATAGATAGATAGATAGATAGATAGATAGATAGATAGATAGATAGATAGATAGATAGATATGACAGGGATTCAATTATCAGTGCTGGAAATCTTGTCTTTCCACTGCCTGGTGACTGGGTTCCTTTATTGTGCTGGTTTGTGTGCGTAGGATTATTTTTTGTCTGAAGCCATAAATTATGATCTACAAACTGAAAAGATGAAGTTTATCAGCCCAAACCTACCAAACAACCTAATGTGTGTGCAGTCTAGTCAGTTGTAAAGTGACTTTGTTTCCAAATGAAAGTACCTTTAAGTTAGAAAAGTTTGTTATTTCCCAGAACAATAAGAAGCTATAGATTTTAGTTTCCTTTTGGATGAAATGTAGTGGGCATTTGCGGTGACACTTATCTATTGATCTATCTAACTGCCAAATGGAAACTCCTTTCCATCTGCAAAATTAAGTCCCATTTATTTCCCACTACGGTGGGATTGCTAACTGCTTCCTTCTCTTCATTTGTACATAGAGAATTAATCTTTTTTTCTCATTCACACTTGCACAAGCATAGGCAAACACTACAAACCAAATAATGTGGCCTCAGAACTCATCATATTGCCTATTGTAGACAGTAAGGAAGATGACCTTGATGGAGATATGCAGGATCCATTGCCTAGGCAAAAGGGGCTGAAACATAGTTAAGGTCCAGAAAGAGATAACAGTCAGAAGTAGATCAGGCAGATGCCTCCATAATTCATTGAATTATAAGAAAGAGGAGGGGGATGTATAGAACAAGCAGACTTGTAAGGTTCTATTATTATAGCCAATCTCAATAAAAATAGTTTTAGCCTTCCAGTAGAGTTGATTTCCTGGTCTGGTCTACCTAGTGGGGCTGACACCTGTTCATGAAACATTCCCAACTGTTCACTGAATAGAAGGTTTATAGAACAATTTGCTCCTGACCAGACACCACACAATAGTATTTCGAAAAAAAGTAGCCAAGCTTTGAATAGGTGAGACCTTCAGTGATACATCCCTGCTCTTAATACTTTTTCTTGCTGAGGCTGTACAGTGGCTTTAATGAAGAAATGGGACCGGCTCAGACAGGATACTTTTTGGCATGATGGAGATAATAAATCCAGCACATTCTGGGCTTGGGGCAATACTTGTTCCATGTCAGCCATTAGTATTCCAGCACAGCAATGGCAACTGACTTCAAAAAAGCAATATCCAGTTGCTTCTTATTTGACATACTTCTTCTACCCTATAGAGAAGTCTCCCCAAACTCTTTCCACCCGAATACTCATTACTCTATAAGAATTTTGTGTATGTAAGAACAGTGCATGATTTTTTATCTGCCTGTTTCACTGTAAATCTAAAGGGAAGGACTGTCTCATCTTTAATTGATCTGTAAATCATTGTTGGAGCTTTTCCAGATAAAGAATAGAATAAATGCTTTCAATGAACATACTGTCTTGCCAGATTGCTGAAATGGCAATATTTCACTAGCCTGTCCATGACAAAGCAACCTTTTTTTTTCACTTTATCAGATCCACACCCTATTTTTAAACCCAGTCTGTCATGGAGGAATCACTTTTTTCCCCACATCATTTTGTCATTCTCCATTCCCCACCTTCGACTCCATTTTTCCTCTTTTAAAAGAAAGGAAAAAATATAATAATAGTAGAAATATATACATCCTAGAATCATATTTGCACTAGATTTTTTTTTTTTAATCTGCGCTCAGTTGTTACCGACTCTGCAGTGACTGCTTGGACGAGTCCTTTGCAGTTTTCAAGGCAAGGTGTTTCAGAAGTGGTTTGCCTCCTTCCTAGAGCAGAGCCCAGCTGGCGAGCACAGGAGGCGGGGTTTCCATTGCTTCACGCCCTTTTCGGGGGCGCATGGTTTTTCGCGCTTACCGGCAACTGCTCCTGACTCCTTTTTGCAAGGCGCCGCCAGCATTTTTCCTCCCACCGGAGTGAGAGTACCCATTTATCTACTCATGTGAGTTGGGTTTATAGGAACTGGGGAGGAAACAGGAGCCCACCCTGCTAACGCGAAGGCTGGACTCGGATTCGAACCACTGAAGTGTCGACCATTTCTGGCCAGCAACTTTCAGCGTCATTAAGCCGCTGCGCCACCGTGTCCCCCTTTGCACTAGATAAGAATATATAAAATTGTAATTGTTTACTGTTATGGCATATTAACATGGTTTTTTTTGTATTTCACTTTTTCATTAAAGCAATTTCTGTGTGTTTTTCCCCCATTTCAATAATAAAATAAATAAATAACAACCAAAAAAGAAATACGCCCATCCATCCATTACAAAAGAGCGTTAGGATGGCATCACTGCTAAGGATCAGAGGAACCCACTCACATTCCTTCCAGGTGAAAACCAATGACAGTTAAGGGATTATATTTGCTAGGAGGTAATTATTAAAATAGATAAGCAACTTGGGCACAATTAAGATACAATTGGTCAGCCAACGCAGCTTCCTTATCTTGATCATTACTCCCCAGTCGGCCATTTTTAAAGTGTCTTGTCCACCCATTCTCACAATCAACATGCACAGATTTGACGTTACCCAGAAAATGAACAATTCTGCTGAGCCAGTTTTTGTTTTGTTTTTTTTAAAGGAAGGAATAACTGTATGTGGATAAGGGGATGTGACCTACAGAAATAGTAACTTGCTTGAAACCATTAGACAGAGAATCCCTTGTTTAGAAAACAGTTTTGCTTTAGCCAGTTTTGGTGATTTTACTTCCCCCTCCAGAGCTGGTCTGCTACAGCTGCTACCTCTGTGCGGACTGAAGACACTTCCTGATTCGTTTGCGACATGAAAAGCTTTCTGAGAAATATCAAAACTGCAAGCAAAGAGAGTGTTCAGGCTGAATCAGAAAAAGACGGAAGGAGCGAGACCAGGGGGAAAGTGTGATAAATCCAAGCCTGCTTCTGAATTGCCTCAGGATTCCTGTTTTGCCATGTCACTTGTAGAGACCATCCGGCTTTGGAGTGAAGGGGTGTCTGCTGCGGATCGCAAGGACTGGGCAGCTGCCCTTGAAGCCTTCATGTCTGTTCAGAATCCTTCTTCCAAAATCTGCTTTAACATTGGCTGCATCCACCTGATCACGGGAAATTTGGAAGAGGCACAAAAGGTAGGTGGCCAGATTTTAAAATTGTCACTGACGGTGGCTGAACAAAGCAGGTGTCAGCCACCCCTCAGATAAAATTACCAACTTCGGTGTTCAAAAATACTGTCCCTCTCCTAGTGGATGCTGGATGAAATCTGGTCATCCAAGGGAGAGGGAGACAAAAAGGAAACTTGGAAGACTGTGAATATCGTCTTACAGAAGCTGGAAAGCACTAAATTTGCCAGCCCCAATACTGGTTGCATAACTGGTCACTTAAAAAAGATTGGCCAGCCTAGCAAAATAATGAGAAGTTGGCAGCCCAGTATTAAGATCTGCCAGGTGTCTATCAAGCCTTCTTCCATTATTTGACAGCTCCAGGCAAACATTAAAAATTGAAGTTAACTGAATCTTTGCCGGGCAACCAGGCCTAAGAGGATTCAAAATGATGAATCATACATTGCATGGCACAGGCCTGAACTATATGTATGGCAAGACCTGTTGGTGGCCTCGTAAACATGTATTGATCATAAACTTGCAATCCAAGAATCGTAAGCTAAACATACAGTATATGTTATGGATGCACTTACGTCATAGCAGTTATGTCCATGTGTTATGTCTGTTTCCTCCAGGCCTTTATCAGAAGCACAGACCATGACAAGCACTTAGCAGTGGCCTATTTTCAGCGAGGAGCTGTGGCTTACCGGATGGAAAAGTGAGCTAGAACATTATAGTGTCTTCCAGAAATAATGGGTTATTATGCTAGTTTGTAACAGTAATCGGTTCTGCCATTTCCTGCTTAGCCAACCTTTGTGTGATTTGGGCATACAAATGCATTTTTAGTTTTAAAATGGAAAGAGGTCCTGGAATACTGTACCAGAAGAAGAAAAACTAGACAATGAAACTCCTCTTCCTCCTCTTAATTATAGTAACACCAGTGATAATCATATGGCACTTAGTCATATCCCATTAGTGAAAAAATTACATGTGAAAAGTGCAAGTCCTAACAATTTGAGGACCTAGCAATTCACAATTGAAAGATGCAAGAGATAGAAACAAGGGTACACAGAGGAAGAAATGCACGTATTTATTAATTTAGTTACAATAAAAGTCAATCAGCAGATACATTAACAGTTATTGCTTAGACACGTCCAACTTACCTTCCTATCTATAGGGACTAGAAACTTGTTCTTTTCTTAAATAAGAAAGGATCATTTAAAAAATCCTGCTGGATCCAGCCAAGGCTCATCTTCATCCAGCATTTTTTTTTTCTCACAGTGGCCAAGAAGGAGGATAAGGATCCTCATTTTCATGAGGTTTAGCTGTAACCCCTTCCTGCAAACAGTCCCAGCAAGGCGGGCACTTTCTGTGGGTGGCTTGAGCAGGACCAGCTGAAGACATTTTGTTGCCTGAGGGAAAATACCAAGTTGGCAACTCTCCTCCCATGCCAGCCACACAGGTGGTTGAATCTCTGGTCACCCTTGGTGACCAGCGTCCGCCCTCAAGCAGGCTATCTCAAGGACTACAGGACAGGTTCCTGAAAGATGCCAGTTTTTCCTCTGATGGGGGAAAAATTAGGTGGGGCTTTGCCCTGGCCTTAAAAATGCCTGCTACCACCCCCCAAACAGAGGTGCACAGATAGAACTGGTTCCCCAGTAAGTTCTGAGGAAACCATTTATCAAGAGAAGTCTGTTTAAACTATATTATCACATTTACAGGGCATGAATTTGTATTGTTTTACAGTGTGGTAATTGTGTGTGTGTGTGCGTGCATGTGCGCATACTCCAGGGTAATCCATGCCCTTTAAAAATGGTAATAGTGAACCCAAATAATAAACTTCTTTGATCAAATTCTGTAGCATTTAAGTATAATATCCAGCAGCATGCAGTTTAAGCTACTGATTTTTAAACGGTAACATTGATAAATGGCAAGCCCCCCATCATGTAAAATTATAATGTTGAAAATGCATAGCATTTCTCCTTTCATTTGAGAAGGTTGGTAATAAAAAGGAATCAATGTTGTGATGCTATTAAGGGGACACCGATGTTGTATAGACTCTTGGAAATGAGTGGAGGCTCATCTTAGGACTTGTAAGGAGTAAGGAAGGTAACTTTGATGGAGATATGCAGGATCCATTGCCTAGGCCAGTGTTTTCAACCTTGGCAACTTGAAGATGTGTGGACTTCAACTCCCAGAATTCCCCAGCTAGCATGC